TAATTTTCTGTTTCTCTACATCTCTTTCTCTGTGTCTATTGCTGTGAGACTCACATGACGATGCGGGCTGAAGGGGTGAGCCGGCCAAATGTTTTCCTCTTAAGAAATTACTAGCTAAGTGTTTTCCCCTAAGAAATTACTAGCTAAATGTTTCCCATTAAGAAATTACCATAGCTAAGAGTTTCCCCCTAAGAAATTACTGGCTAAATGTAAATGTTTCCCCCTAAGAAATTACTGGCTAAGTGTTTCCCCCTAAGAAATTACTAGCTAAGTGTTTTCCCCCTAAGAAATTACTAGCTAAATGTTTCCCCCTAAGAAATTACTGGCTAAATGTTTCCCATTAAGAAATTACTAGCCAAATGTTTTCCCCTAAGAAATTACTAGCTAAATGTTTCCCCCTAAGAAATTACTATAGCTAAATGTTTCCCCCTAAGAAATTACTAGCTAAGTGTTTTCCCCCTAAGAAATTACTAGCTAAATGTTTAACCCTAATAAATTAATATAGCTAAATGTTTCCCCCTAAGAAATTACTATAACTAAATGTTTCCCCCTAAGAAATTACTAGCTAAATGTTTCCCCCTAAGAAATTACTAGCTAAATGTTTTCCCCCTAAGAAATTACTAGCTAAATTTTTCCCCCTCAGAAATTACTGGTTAAATGAGCAAACTTTCCGGGTTCTTTAAAAGCTAGTTATTGGTTTATATTGGAAGAAGAAAAAAATACTATTTCAGGGGTGAATTTTACGAGATAAAATATTTTTCTTAACATATTTATAATTATGAAAATATTGTGTTTTTGACAAGAAAAAAATGCTATTTGAAGAAAAAAAATATTTGATGTTTAATGTAAACTTTTAATTATACTATCCGAGATTGATAAAACATATTTACAACGAAATCGTGGATTTTAAAATTCCATTTGTTTCTAAGCAACAAGAAGGTCTGCGGATCAGCGGGATAGGGAAGATAACCCCGCGATTTACATAAAAATGTTTTTGCGCAAAACCCATTATAATTTTTCATCTTTATTCATGAATTTGAATCGCAAAAGTATTCATCTTACAATGAGAACCAGAAAACCTTGAAAAAAAAACAATTTGGTGAAAAAAAATAATCTTTAGAAGTGCATTTGGTGTTGCTACAACGCTAATAGTTTACTATACTTTCTGTTTAAGTGAAATGGGTTGTTTACACTGCAGCCCAATATTGATGTGTCACATCTTCAATTGACAATTTATAATCATAACTTGAGTCTCAAAGTCGTCTTCCTATTCCACAGTTTTCTGATTCCTACAGTTTTAGATCAGGGAAGATGTCGGAAAAGTAAAATTGAAAATGATCAGAATCGGGATAACTTTTATTCAAATACAGATTTATTGTGTTTCGCGAGGCCATGTTCTTCCTCTCAAAATTTGATGACTGGATGTTAACATTTCCATTCAGGGCGTAAACAAGGGTATTTATCCAAATAAAATTTAGTGTTATTGGCAATGTTGGTCTAAACCACAAAATAAATGTAAATAACGCATTTATGAAAAAAAAAACTATTTAGTCTTATTCAAAATTCAGTGATGGTGATGGACCAAACCTCTGTAGAGTAAAAAAGTAGATGTTAGTTCCACATTTATTGAAAATATATTTCGGGCTGGGTTGACCCTCGTCAGTTCTAACGATATAATAACCATCAAAATCGATAAAAAAATAAAAAAATGTAAAAATCACAAGAAGATAAACAAACAAAAAGATTATTCAAAAAAATAAAAATTTGGGCTGTCAAATGGACATAAGGGAAAAGACTATCTTGAGTTTTAACGATATCCGTTAAAATTTATAAAATAATCTCATAGAGAGACAAATTTAAATAATTTTAAAACTCGTTATAATAATAAGAATTGAATTTTAATCATAACAATGAACTTAACTAACTTCTTTAAAAACGATGTAATTATGTATAAATATAATATAATATAAATATAATATAATGGTTGCTTAAAATGAATGAATTTAAACTTAAACTGATGATTTAAGAATTAGCAAGCCAGGGAGTGACAAGATGATTTTAGAGTTTACATAACTCAGAATAATTCAACTTTTAAAGACTCCCGTATTTACAATTTACGTTCTAATGTGTTTAAGTGTAAATATCAAATACCCCCCCCCCCCAGAGGCGACCAACAATATTTTCTCGGGGGGTGGGGGGGGATTATTCAATTATATTGTACGAAAAGAGCGCCGAATCCTCCCCTTGGCAAAAAATTCCCCACCCCCCTGGATTTCTTTCACAGGAAAATAGATAAAGTTCAGAAAATATTCACAGCAGTTCGGATCAGAATGATTTAATAAGGACGGATAGGACGAATTATAAGGATTCATGGTAGGACGAATTAGAAAGATACATGGTATGACGAATTCTAGAAATATATATGGTAGGATAGGTAAGATTTATATTCATGGCAGGATGAATTAGAAAGATTCGTGGTAGGACAAATTAGAAAGATTCATGGCAGGACAAATTTGAAAGATTCATGGCAGGATGAATTAGAAAGATTCATAGCAGGACAAATTTGAAAGATTCGTGGTAGGACGAATTAGAAAGATTCATGGTAGGACGAATTAGAAAGATTTATGGTAAGACGAATTAGAAAGATTAATGGTAGGATGAATTAGAAAGATTCATAGCAGGATGAATTAGAAAGATTCATGGCAGGATTAATTAGAAAGATTCATGGCAGGATCATGGCAGGATGAATTAGAAAGATTAATTAGAAAGATTCATGGCAGGATTAATTAGAAAGATTCATGGCAGGATGAATTAGAAATATTCATGGCAGGATGAATTAGAAAGATTCATGGCAAGACAAATTAGAAAGATTCATGGCAGGATGAATTAGAAAGATTCATGGCAGAATACTTGCAGGACAAGAATGACGGATTTGAAAGACTAATGACTATAATGGTGGATCTGTTGTTAATGTGGTATAATGACTATAATGGTAGATCTGTTGTTAATGTGGTATAATGGCATAGACTATGGTAACTAAAATATGTCTTTTTATAAATGGCAATATGATGAATATATTTTTCCCCTTGATCCTATAATTTATGAATGTTGAAGCTTAATCATATCTAACCAATATTCATAATCAAAGGGCGTATTCGGGGACTACATGAGTATTAAAACTACGTGATTTTCAGGGGAGGGGTGATTCAGGCCCCGACAAGGAATAGGGCTTAAAATTCGGTGATGGTGATGGACCAAACCTATAAGTATAGAGTAAAAGAAGTAGATGTTAGTTCCACATTTAAAGGAATTCGGTCTGGGTTGACCCTCGTCAGTTCTGGAGATTGTTTCTGTCACAAAGATTAAAAACAAAGAAAGGAATAATAAGGCCCCCCGAGGGAGGGGGTGAAGAGGCGCCATGATCCCCGCAAAAATAACCTCCGAGCCTCAGGATTTGCCGAATTACCTCCAGGCTCCGCAAAACTGGTCTCCCAGCCTCAGTGACGTCACCAAGCAGCTCCCGCCATTCTGTCTCCACGCCCCGCATTTTGGCTCCAATAAAAAATATTTGGCTTTTATTTCCACCAAGAACCTTTTTTTTAAAAATTCTCAACATGATGAAATAGTTCAGAATGATACATTAACATTTTGTATTAAAAAGTGAATTTTAATTGAAATTAAAGGCTTGTATTTTGTTTTTCTAAATTTCACAAATTCCTGAAACTGTGAAGAACTATTGCAGTTTTGTATAAAGATAGAAAATTTTTATATTATTTTAGAGGGGTCTCATATGCGAATCAAACAATATCAGTGGCAATTTACAAAACAAGGTAGTTTTTGTGAAATCCTTGTATTTGTGATTTTATCGTAAGCTTTAGAAAATATTGAAGAACTATTTTTTAAAAATTGAAACAAAGAATTAAAATAATCTAAATATCTATAACATGCTATACTAACAGGTTAGGGCAGCTATGTGTCATATCTTGTTGTTTTAATAAGTTAAATTTAATTCTAAATAGTTTTTCTTTTAGCTAGAGAATTCATTTATTTGACTGAAAAAATTGATATACAGAGGTGGGGGGTAACTACAAATATAGTATGCCAGG